CCCTCTCCTCCCGCCCTCCCTCCCTCTCTCTCTCTCTCTCTCTCTCTCTCTCTATATATATATATATATATATATATATATATATATCCTATGTCATCAAACAGAGAAAGGAACTTGGTAATCCTGACAGAAAATGAAAGTTGAAGTGAATGATTGTTCACATTTCTCAGTTTGATGATGCAGGGGAGTACGAGGATTGAGCACCATGCAACGAGGAGAGACTGCACTTCCCCTATGCGCAGTGACTGACTGATGGGGTGGGATTGCTTGTATTTGCATGTTAAGTGATGCTAATCTACAGGTGGAACATGAAGCTGAGCGCGTCATGCGATTACTGAAGCCACGAGATTGGGTAAGCTTGCTACGACAGCCATGATTGGGCCAGCCATGGTGCTTCTTTCAGTCATGGTTTGTGTCTTGCAGCAACCCCCAGTTTCAAGGGTGTCAACTACTATTAAGTGAGTCAAACAGACGACCTTCGGGACATCCATTAAAATTGGAACGAGACAGAGACGTGTAGCATGACCCTTGCAGAAGGATGCCATGCATCAATTGAGAAATGGTCCGAATTATAAAGAAAATTTAGAAAAAAGAAAAAGAAAAAACACAGAAGAAGAAAGTGACTCAGAAAGAGGGCATAAATCCTTTGGAACATCCATGAAAATTGGAAACGATACAGAGAAGATTACCATGGCCTCTGCATGAGAATGACTCAGAGAAATCGAGTGAAGTTCAAAATTTTGCAGGTGGGGAGGAGAGGTTGGCAGGGGGGGAAGGCTGGTGGACAGGGCTTATCTGCCGAAGAGTGGTTGGTGGGGTGAGGACCGGTTGCCCTGGCCTGCTAGTCTATTATTACTGTTGGGCTCAGGCGCAATTGGAACCGGACACCTGGCCCGAGTACGAGGTAAACACCGGCTGTTTCTATTTTTGCTGTTTTTTCATGTTTGTTTCTGGCCAGTTTCGAACCCGGGACCTCTATCTTGACAAGTCGCTGAACTGCTAGGATCTAGACAGGCAGGTCTCTGTACCTCAGAGCCCAGCAGGAGGACCCCGTAGGCCTGAAAACTCAAATCAATTTGACAAACAAACAGTGAGGTAACCACAAACTTCACGTTAGTTTTCATGCGTGTGGGGTTTGGCTTGGAAGAGGAAACGAGCAGTGCTAAATTTAGCGCGTGAAGGGGAGGTTCAAGGTGCAGCCAGAGACAGTGAGATCTGGCAGTGCCGCGGTAGTATACTATTCCGTTTTGAGTGCAACTCAGGGCGGCCGGGCGGGCAAGTGGACTTTTCTTTTTCTCACATTTTCGTCAAGTTTTCTGTTGCGATTTTTTCCAATACAAGTTTGCTGTGAAGTTTCCTATTAATTGAGATTTGCTTCCGAATTTCCAATCAAGTTTTCCTGAGGGATGGTTGCTGGCTGAGATTGTCCAAGTTTTGGCAACTCTGAAATCTCAGCAATTACCATCTTTGGGTGCTGAGGGTGGTTAGTCAACAGTTCAGGAGGGTGAAGATGGGGAGGGTTGAAGGGGGTCCAGTAGGACGGCCAGGGTATGATTCCTCCCCCTCCCCCCCCTCCTCCTCTTCCTACTGGCATTTTCCTTCATGTGATCTGATGGAATTATTTGTGTCCATGCGTCTTCTCTCAAACGAAAATTGATCAATGAAACAACGGTTTCAAAAATTATTTTCCAGTGTTCCATTTGATTTACATGATGCGGTTATATAACTGTGTAAAGCTGGCATGGTCCCACTTCATATGGCAAGGGAAGGGGAAGAAGGAAATTTGCCTGTGTTTGTTTGCGGACAATAGTAAACCCGCAAGCCAAAAGAGCACAGTCCTGCCTCCCTTATGACCAAATGGTACACTCTTGTAGCTGGTTATAAACAGATAATGAGTCTTGTCACTGGTTATAAACAGATAATGAGTCTTGTGGCTGGTTATAAACAGATAATGAGTCTTGTGGCTGGTTATAAACAGATAATGAGTCTTGTAGCGGGTTATAAACAGATAATGAGTTCAAAATTCAAATCCTGCTGGAGGGGGGATACCCTCTTTATGAAAGAAAAAAACAAAGAAAGAGTATTGCTTCTGCTGAGGTAGGCAGGTCTGTCGGTAGCCAGTCGGCAAAACCCCTTTGAGCGGTTACCTGCATTGGTATTACCTCTGGTATTGACATGACTGCTGCTGCTGTGTGCCCTTCTTGTCCTGAGAATTGCAGGTCATTGCTTCTTTCTTTTTTTTAAGGACAGGCGATGGCCTTGGGATATCTTCATTGATTGGACCGGCCGTAGCCAATTTCAGAATGATTTGTTCCATTCATCAAGGTCCAGCAGGATTTGAATTTTGAACTCAGGTGTGTATTTCAACTGTTCATGGGTGTCCCTACTGAGATAGGCTCGTTGGTGCAGGTCATTGCTTTGGATGAAAGGGGCAGAACGATCACTTCTGAACAGCTTGCAGACCTGATTGCTGATGCTGGTGATTCGGTAAGTAAGCCGCATGGATTTTTAATGTAAGTAATTAGTAATACAAGGGTTCAGCAAAAAAAAAAAAAAAACAAGGGTTCAGCCTCCTGATGAGTTGGTGAAACTCCGACAAAACAGTTTTTCACAGCCCCTTGTTTGTTGTCCTCTTCTCCCTCTCTGCCTATGGTTTACTGGGCAGCTCTGTTTTACTATATATATACAAACTTACAAAGAGTCAAAGACTATAATAATGTTAATACATTACAAGCTCTCTCTCTGACGAGTGGCCTGTATTATCATGTATGCTACTATAATGTACCATGTTAACATGGACTTGGCCAGGAGAATCCAGCAATTGATTTGAATTATCACTGACCTTGATCTGGATTCTGCATCACAGAGTCAATCCCCTCCATTGTAACTGTAAATGACTAGTGTTGATTGATATCGTAGTACAGAATGTGAATTGACTCTGTTTTTTGTTCGGAATCTTCACGTACAGTATCTGAGGATGCCTCTGCACAGACATATGTTGCTCACAGGCTCATAGCCACAGGTGCCTCTGCATCGCTGCAGCGGAGTTGATCGTGACAGGACGATTGTGATATGCCATTTCCTTTCAGAGTATGTCACCGGCTATGCACTGATTTTCTTCGTATATGATCTTAATTTTGAAGGATGATTCGACGGATGACGATGTTTTGCACCAGGCATGGCGAATTGTTACGCAGTTACAATTTCAAACCAAGGAACAGGACCAAGTGATCCTAGCTCAGTTGGTACGCCCATGAAATATTGAAATACAAGCCTGAGTTCGAATCCAGATGTAACCAGATGAACAGAATAAGAGAATTCTGAACACCCCGAGGCCGGTCAGTGTAATGATGATATCTCAAGGCCGTCGCCCTTCTTTAAAAGAGAGAAAGAAGGGGGGGAAAAGACGAAAACAAAAAACAACAACAACTGGGAAACAGGAAGTGGGTTCTTTATGTTTAGTCAATTTACTTTGCTTGTCTCCTGTTCTTTATTTATTTGTCGTCATCATGCATCCTTTGGTTAAGGGATGGTTGGGGCTTGCTTTCTGCATTGGCGGGCCTTACGGACATGGCGCGGACATCATTGCCAGAGCGAATGACAAGATTAAGCTATCTTCTCTTGTCTTGAACCATGAGATTGCACGTGTAGTATTGATGGAGCAGCTCTACAGGTCAGCGCCTTCCCATCCCCTTTCCTCCCCTCCCTCGTCCGCCACCCTCCCTCTGGGGGCCCCATGGCTTGTCTTGGACACCTTCATATTCCTTCCATACTATTGGCCTGGAGGCCCTAGATAACCAGAATGAGTGGCGAAGGCACATAAATGGAGAATGCCTGTGATTCTCTATGCAGTCATGTTGCAGCAGCGAAGACATCCATCTGTTACAGCTGTGATTGCATATTTGATCCCATCCTCATGGTGGGGGGGTCAAGTCCATCAGTTTCAAGACTTCTTCAGCTTCCATTAGACATTCGCCAGCTTGTCCATCATAATATGAACTTGCCGGTTGGTGCATCATTACTCTTGACAAGACAGCTAAGTGTGGAATCGAACCCATGAAAGTCGATGAAACACATGCTGCTGCTGCTGTGGCGTTGTTTTTTTTCTTTGTTTTCAAACATGTCCTTATGTTCCTGGTTTTATATCCATTCTCAGGAGGATCAGATCGGTTCCAATCCACCAGCAAGTTTGACGATGATTAAATACCATGAGACAACTACGCTTCCTTCAGTTAAGGCTGAAGGCAGTGTTGTCATCCGGGGATCCCCGGGGCCCGAGCCGGGGTTGGGGTTTGACCCCCGGACCCCCGGGCCTGGGGATCCCCGCCCCC